TCAAAGAAGAATAATGAGCGGGGTTTTCTCCACGAATTTTAAAATGGATTATAAACATATAAAAATTATTGTGGTTCTGGCAACCACACAGAGACATGGAAAAAAATGGAACATACTAAAATGTCCAGAAACAAATCCAAATACATAAAATAATTTTGTATGTAATAAATTTTTTTGTTGTTTGTTTTTTATAGTGAAAAAGTCATTTAATCATGCTGATGTTTTCTTTTCTTTTTTTTCTATAGCAGCATTATTATTATCTTTTTTTAATTGAAGTTCATTAGGGTAACAAAGGTTAGTAAAGTTATATAGGTTTCAGGTGTACAATTCTGTAAGACATCATCTATATATCACATTGTGTGTTCGGCACCCAGAGTCAAATGAGAAAAAAATGAACTTTCCAGGAAATGGTATCAGGAAAGTTTTCTAACCATTTTATAGAAAATAAATTGCTACTGTCAAGCACAAGGCCAGGGTAAGAATGATAGATGCGGCCAGTAAAGAAATAAGCCCTTTTCAGGTCCAGATATTTCGGTACATACGTAGTCAGCACAAGAAGTTGCCAAGGCTGCTTAGCTCCTTGTGGCCCATGTGCAGGGCAACCTGGAAACAACAAAGACCAGGTGACAGCAACACTAATAACAGGTCACCCTGGTGTGGAGAAAACAATGTCATGCTGCAGCTAAGTTGCACAGCTTCCAGCTGTATCCCAAAGGAGGTGAGTCAGAAAACCTCAAACCCAGGAGGCCATGACAGTTCCTCATGAGCCTCTCATGTCCCTACGTTCCAGGAGGATCCCAACGTGTTCTGTCACAATTCAGATCAGCTGCATTCAAGTCCTACCCAGGTGACCTATGGAGATGCATGTGAGGTCCTGGGTGCCAGCACAGCGGTGTTCCCTATAGCTACCTCACAAGTCCTTCAGAATAAATTTCATATGGTTTAAAGATTTAAAGAGAAATAAATAAATAAATGTATTAGAGAATATATATATATATATATATATATATATATATATACATTATATATATGTATATAATATTGAGGGGTTGCCTTTCTAACTAAGCATAATATCAAAAGCAGAAAACAACAGATAAACTGATTACATAAAAAAATTTTTTAGATCAAAGAATTTACAATGCCAATATTATGATTAAATTTCCTTGCTCAGACAGCTTTATTTTCTTAGAGTATGCCTTTCTTTTCTTCTTTAATGTCTTCATTTACTTATCCTCATTTTTAAAAAATGATTTCATTATGAGAGTTAAACAGTCAAGTAATCTATTTTCTAGAACCCTCCAGATGGAATAGTGGTCCCAGCATGAGTGTTAATGATAGGACTGCCTTTTAATGCTTTCCCACATAGAACCCCATATTTTCAGTGTCCCATGTCTTTCTCTTTGATATATTCCTCTCTTTCCATGGAATACATCCTGAAGTAACTTCATAGGAAAGGATAAATGTGAGGTGACATATCTGAGTCCTTGCATGTTTACATCCAACTTTAGTCTACCCCTGCTCTTTAATTGATACTTTCCCTGAGTATGGGTTTAAAATAAATTTCTCTTAGAATTTAAATGCTTTGTTCCATTTTTTTTTTCTAAACTTCGGTATTGCTCTTAGAAACTCTGATGTCAATCTTTTTCATATTCTTTTATGTATGTCCTAGTATTTGTATTAATGTTTGCAGTCTTTTGATATGTTCTCTTCTCTCTCTCCCTCTTTTTTTTTCTGTTCCAAAATTTCATAATGATGTACCTAGCTATGAGTCTATTACCACTTATAATGCTTGATTTTCAGTGAGTCCTTTGCTGATTCATGACCTTCAGGTCTAAAAAAAAATTCTCATTTCTTTGAAAAATTCCCCCCTCCATTTCCTCTGTTCTCTCTGTTCAGAACTTCAACTGTTTGGTATATTAACCTTCTATTTTTGCGTCATGTTTTGGTCTCTGTCTTTTTGTTCTTCTTTCTAGGGCATTTTCTACCCCTTCTATTTCAATTCTTTTGCTGATTTTTTTTTGTTTAATTTTGGCAAGCATATTTAAAAATTTCAAGATCTTCTCTTTATTCTCTAAGCCTCTCTCCTAGTATCCCAGTGTTTTTCAACTTTGGCTGCACTTTAGAACTATCTGGGATGTTTTAAAAACCCTGATGCCAACGTCACACTCCAAATTAGATCAGAATCTTTGAGGATAAAACCTAGGCATTCATATTTTTTAAAGCTCTCTAGTTGATACCAATCTTTATCTTGGTTTGAGAACCACTGCGTTATCCNTTTTGAAGAGGAGAGTGATGATGATGATACTGCAGCTCTTCTTGCAGAACTGGAAAAAATTAAAAAAGAAAGAGCTGAAGAGCAGGCCAGGAAGGAGCAAGAACAAAAAGCTGAAGAAGAAAGGATTCGTATGGAAAACATTCTGAGTGGAAATCCTCTCCTTAATCTCACTGGCCCTTCCCAGCCTCAGACCAACTTCAAAGTTAAAAGAAGGTACAATACAGTAATGGGCTGGAAATATATACACAGATTATGAGTTTTATAGCAAACTGTATTATATAATGCTTCTAAAATCCCACTTTGTACTGATAACTCTATCAGATTTTTGAATAATGGAAGAAGGAGAATGAAAGAAAATAATTTATTTTCAATAGGTATTTATAATAACCAGCTGTGTACCAGATATTGTTGTAAACATTAGAGATGGAGCAGTGCACTGAGCCCTTGACCCTACACAGCTTACATTTTAGGGGTGTGTGTGTTCGTTCGTGTTCGTGTTCCCTGAGACTACCCTTCACATTTGGAGACTCACTAGAAGGACTCAGGGGACTCAGGATAGAGTTGTACTCCTGACAAACATATAAAGGTGTATAGCCAGACCCTAGGGGGAAAAGACACTGAAGGAATCCATGTGCACACTTCCTTGTGCTCTGCCTTTCAATGGAGGGTCACACACAACACATTCTTTCCCTCAGCAGTGAAAATACAGCAACATGTGTGCATTGTTTCTGCCTGGGGAAGCCCGTTAGATCCCTAGTGCCCAAGGATTTTATTGGGGGCTAGTCATCTAGATAACCCCTGCCCAGCACACACCAAATCCACACTCCCAGAGGAAAGCAGGTGTTCAGCATCAACTTCATGATTTGCACAAACAGTCAAGGCACAATGACAGAAGATTCCTGGAGTCCAAGTTTCCAAGTGCCAGCCGTTGGTCAGCCTTGCAAGCAGGCCTTTCTTAGGATGGCAGTCTTAGGCCTCCATGGTAACTCTTCCGTCCAGTGTGTGTGTTTGGAGGGGAAAGTGGAAGGCTGGAGAATCCATGTTGAATATGGTGCTTTAGATAGGGATGTGTAGGAAAATAAAATAGAACAGCTTAGGGGAAGTGCTGCGTGGGCGGAAGGTTGATCCTCCTGTAAGGCGATCAAGGAACCCTGCAGGCTTAACTTTTAAACCATGTCTATTGTTTCTCACCACCTCCACTACTACCATCTCCCCCTGGAGTGATGCAGCACCCCTAATTGGTCATCTGCTTGCACGCTCACCACTGTCTCCACCCCCACCCCCACCCCCAGTTTTTTTCTTCACACGGCAGCGTCATGGTCCTTCTAACATGAAAGGTGACAACCTCCTGTTCTAAGCTATCCAGTGGCTTCCCAACTCATTTGTAGCAAAAATTCAAACCCTTACAATGGCAACAGCATAGTCAAGGAAGAATTTGGTGGGCAGGTGACATTTTATCATAGACCAGACTCCAAGGCATTTGAGCAATTGAAAGAACAGATATGGGGAAGAATGTAAACTAAGACTGGGAGTGGGGGAGGTGACAGGTCTAAGACATGTTAAGTTTGGGAGGTTAAATACATGTATGGAAATGTTGAGTAGGTATCTTGATATATGGTTCTGGAGTTAGTCCAGGCTAGAGATAATGAATTTGGGAGCTGTCGACCTACGTTAGTTTTCTAAAGCCATGAAGACTAGATGAGATCACCTAGGGAATGAATATAGTCAGAGAGGAGCAGTCAGAGGACTGAGCCTGGGATAATGTTTAGAGGTTGGGTAGATGATTAGCTATCAATACCTGGAACAGTGACCCGTACATACTAGGTGTTCAGTAAATATTGATCGAATGAATTTTGAATGAAAAAAGCTAGGCTGCAAAGTAGCAGCCAGTGAGAAAGAAGAACCAAGAGATTGGTGGGTGTCTTGGAAGCCAAGCAAACAAAGCTTGCTTTCAAGGGAGGGGAGTGATTATCTAGGTTGGGTCGGCAAACTGTGGCTTGGGAGCCACATGTGGCTCTTTTGGTATGTACATGTGGCTCTGAAGTAAAATTGAAAATGAAAATAAAACTATCATAGTTTCATTTATAAAATTTTTTTTTTTAAGTTTTATTGGGGAATTGGGGGAGGGGAACAGCATTGGGGAGTCAGGTAAGGGGAACAGACAAGTTGCTGTCCTTTTTGTTCTTCAGTCTAGTTGTGGAGGATGTCACTTCACTGGCCCATGTTGGTATTGTCATTGCGCTCTTCCCAGGTGAGGCAGTCGCTCACCAGCCATTGGACGGCCACTCACGGCGGCTCACGAAAGCTCACGCCAGCTGCCAGCCAGCCCCACTGCAGCCTACGCCGTCACCTCACGGCATCCCAGCTCCAGGTCGAGCTGTTGTTCACCATCTTAGCTGTAGAGGGCGCAGCGTCACTGGCCCATGTGGGATCTGAACCGCGGCCCTGCTGCTCAGAGCTGGTGTCCCAAGCCAACTCTTAACCAACACGCCACTCAGCCGGCCCTCATTTATAAAATATTTAAAGGATATTAGTCACATAATGGTGATTTCATTTGTTTTATGGCTCTCCAATAATTTTTAAATTATTGTGAGGGACAGGATTGGCTCTCCCATCTCAAAAGTTTGCTGACTCCTGATCTAGGTCAAATATTGATGACAAGGCAAGTAAAATGAGCACTGTGAATTGGCTATTGGATATAGCAACACCGGAGAGCAGTTTTGGTGTTGAGATAGAGGGACTAAAAACCTTTTGGGAGTGAGTTGAGAGAGTGGATAGAAAAGAAAAGCTACATTGATTATATTAATACTAAACCGTAGTTTGTTCTGCCTTGTTTGGATGCAGATGGAATTGTTTGGAGATTGGAACATGTGTTAATATGCAGGTCACATTTGACCCAGCTGTGCTCAGCTTTTCATGTTTCTGTGTCTTGCACCAGTGATGACTTTGCTCACACTTTTCCAAAGATGCCCATGTTCTTTGCTTATTTTCCATGTGCAGTTTTTTCTGGCATGCAGATATGCACACACACATATTACATGGGCTTTCACTTTATACCTGTTTGTGAGAGTATATGTATTACACGGATGGGTTTGTCTTTTATATGCTAGATGATATTTTGAAATCATACTCTTTAGTTTCTATAAAACCTGTATTTCATAGCCCATTCATGGGTATTTTTTTATGCTTGTACATGATGAAATCCAGAGTCCTGCCCAAAGCTCTTCAGCTGCTGTTTGTTGCGAATGTAAATGTGTGCTGATATGAGACTTAATTGTTACACCCTAGTAGTTTCTTCTCCTTTTGTTCTAAAATGTAAATACAGTGGATGATTGCTAAATGTTAACTGATGAAAGAGTATGTAACATCCTTAAAACCACCTAAGCTGAACTGCAGTTAAGTTGATCAGTTAACCATCTAGAGCTGTCTGTACTAATCAGGGTAGTGCCAGGTGCTGCCTGTTGGTTGTAGACTTGAACTCATTCAGTATTTATGCTATTAAAATGTATGTATTTCTGCTTTTTAACTCAAAGCTGCTTATACTGGGGAAGTAATAAGAATGCTTTATATATTCTAAATGGGAATTGGCCCTTCTGCTATTATAAAGCAAGCTTACAACCTGTTCAGAATTACTTTGTTTTTTAGGGTGTAATCGCTGCATTGAATGAGGTACATGCTGAGCATCTTTCTGTGTAATGACTAACTTTGCAGTTCACACAGTGTTGGCTCCTGATCAATACGAGTGTTCTCTCTCTCTTGTTTTTTTCCCTTCAGGTGGGATGATGATGTCGTTTTCAAGAACTGTGCAAAAGGTGTAGATGATCAGAAGAAAGACAAAAGATTTGTAAATGATACACTGCGATCTGAATTTCACAAAAAGTTTATGGAGAAATATATTAAGTAGTACAGTTTTATGTGCTTAAATTAAAGACTAAAATGTGAATGATCATTTTGACTTCATTTTGGTTAGTTTGGTCACCCCCCCACCTCCTACTCAAATTGTATATAGTCTCCCCTAATTTTAAG